TCATTGTGCACCTGGATCAATTGAGAAAACTACCCTGCCCCAGGTTATAATTAAGGGTTTTAATTTTTGAAAAGAAAAACTTCGACTTCTTTGGCTCAAAGGGGTTGACGAGGGATTATCTTCCTTATGACTCCAGTGTTTAGGATTTGAAACAATGCTTGTACCTCATCAGCAGGGTCTGTTCAAAAGCATACTGTAAAGATCGTGGTATCGTTTTCGTCATCCTCCCTCAAGAGGCTTAGAACTTTTAATCGAGAGTTTGAACATCAAAAAATAAAAGCAATTTTGAATATAGTAAACACAATTACTTCAAAACAGACACGTGTAATGCATTAATGAAATAAGATAGTTTGACATGATAATTGTTTGAATAAGCAAAGAAAAATACAATATCAGAATTCAAATGAACAAAAGCCTCTCAATCTTAGCCATGTTTTGGCAAGGGAGCAGTGATCACATTGGGAGTCTCAAAAGGCTCGAATTCGATCTCCTTAGCATCAATCATATTCTGGATCTTGTATTTCAGCGCCCAACAATCATCAGTATCGTGCCCCGGGCTACCAGAATGATAAGCACACCTCGCATCTGGGTTGTAGCTTGGAGAAGAAGTCTTTGGATTTGCAGGAGGGTTTATCACCGCAATCAGATTCATCTTCAACATGTGTTGCAATGCTTGTGACAATGGCATGTTGATGTTGGTGAACTGTCTTTTAGGCTCGTCCGACCTTCGTTGATTTCCCTTTTGCTGTGGTCGGCGTGACGCGGAACCAGAGATCAAGACTGCCCTACATGTTGGTCACGACGACTCTTTTGACTGTACGCAGCATTGGACTCCTTCTTCCCACTGTAAGGCTTTTTCTGAGCATCAGACTGTGCAGCTTCTGGAATCTTCCCACTTTTGATGCCAGCTTCAATTCTTTCCCCAGTCAAGATCAGATCTGTAAACCCAGCAGAAGAATTCTCAATCAGATGGTTGAAGAAAGGACCAGACAGGGTCCCCAAGAACATATCAACGAGCTCACGGTCAGTTAGAGGTGGTTGCACCCTTCCAGCAAGGTCTCTCCATTTTTGAGCATACTCCTTAAATCCTTCACACGTCCCTAGTGACATACCCTGGAGTTGGGTACGCGTAGGAGCGAGGTTGGAATTATACTGATACTTCTTATAGAACGCAGTAGCCAAGTCTTCCCAGTTACGGATACTGGCTCCATCCAACTGATAGAACCATTCGAGTTGAGTCCCTGAAAGACTATCTTGGAAGAAATGGATCCACATATTCTTGTCAGCAGTGTAAGGTTGGATCTTCCTTACATATGATCTGAGATGCAGCTTAGGACAAGAAGCCCCGTCGTACTTTGCAAAAGTAGGTGCCTTGAATTTGTGTGGGATCACCACCCCAGAAGATAAACCTAGATCTCCAAAATCCAACCCGGGCACATGTTGAATCTCCATAGCACTTAGACGGTCCTCTAGTTGCTTGTACCTGTCCTCAACAGGGGTGTACTGTTCATCATTGTAATCTGTCTCGTTGTCAGAGACCACGGGACTAGGAACCCTTCTCTCTTGGGGACTGTCTTTCCCTACAGAGGAAGTAGGGAGATCGGCCTCATTTTGCAGTGCATTCCCATATCTGCGTCCAGTGTAGAACAACACAGTCCTCTTCTTCTTCTTCTTTAGAATCAGAGTCTTCAACTCCTGTTGACCCTGGGCTAAGCTCATGACCAATTCCTGGAACTGGGCGTTCTGGGCCTGGAGGGCCTTGATAGCTTGTTCAGTGGAAGGTTCGGTAGACATGATGATTGCTGAAATAAACAGCGAAGAAGATAAGTGACCTGTAAAAAGTGTACCTGTAATGCAATGATATGTATGATATGCATGCAATGTTTTCAAGGATCTCGCGGGGTAAACAAGGAAACTTGTTAGAATTTGAATTCGGTGGCTTGATTGAAGGAACTTCATGTTGTTGAGAGTCCTTCTTCCAGAGTCAAGGCTCACCATATCGAGTGGGTTATAGCCCCTGACTCAAGTCATCATGTTTTTATTTCTAAACAACCTTGGCTAGAGGAAAATAAATCCTCTTTGCCCCTTGCTAGACATTTTGATTCATCATGACCTGCATCACAAACCCTTGAGATCCTTGAAATGGGTAAGTCCTCATGCAGGATGTATGCAATGGTATGATGGTATGATGTTATGCTATGCGTGGAGTGATGTAAGTAAACCATGTTATAAGCCCAGATTAAGGATCGTAAACAAAACCTGCAAGGAACCCATGTTGTCAGATAACAAGAATATGCAAGTAGTTCAAGTTTGAAAGCACACAAGTCACACAAGACAGCCCTTAGAGTTCAGGCCAGCATGAAGTTTAGGTACTACCCTCTTGAAGTTGGTTGGCTCAAAACCTGTCCTATCAAAAGTAACTGGGTTCTAAGGAGCTCAATATCATTGGATTGTTTTCTATGTTCATTGTTTTGATTTAGCCACTGGATTGGCGATCAAAATATTCCAAGAAAACAATCCTCAATGAGTGTAGTATCGAGTATCTACCAACTTCAGACTGCACCAAAGTCGGTCATCTCACTACCCCTAAAGAGGCCAGGATGGTCAAGTAAGGTTCTAAGGTCAGTTGATGCTTCGCGACACCATGCGGCGGCCACGTTCTCTCCTTGACTTGACTTAAGGGTTATCGGTACTCACCAAAGTGCCACATCAACGTAGCAACTGCTTCAACCGTGTCGGTATACCCCGCGCAGTTCCCTCACAGTTTGTTGCTACTTCTAAAGGGTATCCCCCATACCCGGGTTAGGATCTATGAAACTCCAAGACAAGCCCACAATATTAAAGCAAACAAAACAAGCAATTGAAAACAAGAATGGTCTAATCCTAAGGTACACCTCACTTATAAAAATATTCCCCAGCAGAGTCGCTAGTTCTGTGATCGGTGGAAATAGAACTGACTGTTTTGAAATGCTGGTTCGCGAAATGTCGCGGTAAGCAAGAGTCTCCACCGTCTTTTATGTTCTCCAACAAGGAAAGGACAAAAGCACAGCAAAATTCCTTTTCGAGATGTTTCTCGGTTCGGGAGGTAGATTATAGAAAGGGAAGGTGTTGGCACCCTTTCTATCCGTGGTTATCCACGGGCTCTTAGGTACTTGCTCACTATGTTTTTAAAAATTGTTTGCTTTTCTTGTGTATGTGGGTTTTGAAAAATGTTCGTTTTGAAAACTTCTAGGTAACTCTTGTATCAGTCCTCAAGAGTGTATGAAGTATTTGTTTGAAAACTTTTTGAAAGTGTAGGTGCGAAAAGTTCGTTTTGTTTTTGAAAGAGCAAGTACCCAGGAGAAATCTACCTACTCTAAGGAATTAGGCTGTGTAAGAGTCCTTTAGACAGTACTATCCCACTATTGAGAAGTAGGTAGCACCGTCGTTGGAGTTATTCGGGTCAATTCGATTATAGGGACATGTGTGGTCACCAAAGCAATAGTAGGACGCCTTAGCGGTAACCCTAATGTCTTAGATCGTTTTTTATCTGAGGCAACCGTTTCGAGGCAACTTTTGATCTTTAGACAGGAGGGCGACCTCTAAAACACCCTATACTCAATGACCACCTCGAGGCAACCAAGTGAGGCGTACCCTAGGAGTGGCATGTGCATGTGTGTCAGGTTTCAATGTTTAAATTATCTTTGAACATGCATCATTGTGAGCTACGGGTTGATTTTATTTTTCAGGCCAGTCTTGCATGCATAATTAACAGTTAATAATTGTGCGGAAAGTAAATTGCGGAAAATTGAATCTACGCTATTACAAGGCATCGGGTATTTACATCGCCAAAAACATAACCCTTTGGAAAATAAATGCGAGAAATTAAAAGAAAGCGATAAAGGCCCTAATTATCTATTACATTCTCGGAGCAGATACATCAATATGATCAAAATAATAAAGCGCGCGCAAAGAAATTGAGTCAGGACGTCCTTAGGGTTTTGACCCTCTTTGAGAAAAGAATGGAATTTGGTCCCTTTTTGCAATTAATTAAATATTAAACCTAATAACTAATTAATTAATTAATTAAAAGAAAAAGTATTTTTTGTATTTTTTATTGTTCTAATGAAAATAAAGAAAATAAAATAAAAGGAATTAAAATTGTCAAAAGAAAAACCCTAATTCTATGTTAATTTTATTTATTATGAAAAAGCTTAAAGTTAACCTAATTTAAAACAACTAAATTAATTAATTACATTTATTTACAAAATAATAATTAATAGTAAAAATAATAAATAATAAAATAAATAATATTTACATTTTTAATTGTCTGAATTTATTATGAAAATAAAAGTTTGTTAATTAAATACTAATAATAATAATAATTAAAAAAGATAATAAAAAGGAAAAGAAAATAAAAAGAAGAATAGTAAACCAGGGGGGTGATGGGCCCTTTAGGAGGTGGATTAGCAATTCTCAAGCCCACTAAGAATTCAGTCCCTTGACTTTTCCTGATTGGCTGCGTGTTCATTGACCAGGAGTATGATGGTCACTCATCTCAGGGCCATCAGATCTGTGAGGGTGGCCACTTGGCGCCTGGGATTGGAAAGAATATGGTGGACATCATTTGAAAGCCTGCACATGATTAGGTGAAGAAAAACAACAAATAATAGTTTTGGGGGGACCTGGGGATCAAACCCAGGTCCCAATGATCCTTGGACAACGCATCCACCATTGAGCCATTCGCTTGCATTTGATAATATAACAATAAGCAATTATAATATTAAAACGTTAGTGCATGTACTGTAAAACAAACAAAAAAACGCGCGCCATTTAAATTGTCCAGTAGCACGCTTACAACTCATCATCGTCTTCCTTTTTCCCTATAAAAGATAATCAAATAGCGGGGGTTTTTAACCCCCCACAACCTGCAAGGACGAAAAATAGCGAACAGGCCTATGGTCAATATAAATTGTTCGCGAGGGTGGTTTTAGATTCGTCTTGTCTCAACGAATCCAACCATGGGTCTCTCAAGGTCTGATTTTTCCTGTACAGCAAAGCCCTAATTCAAGAACTCAAGAACCCTAAAATCCTTCAATGGCAACTTGCGATCCTTTACACTATAATGCAATTAACCAATGCCATTAGCTTTGTAAAGGTTCAAGCAATGCAAAACGATGATTAGAACATGTTAATTATGCATGAATAATGAATTACGATTATGAAAGAAATATGCCAATCGTGGTTCTGAAACTAACGATTCTTGGGGCTATGAGGCTGGAAACTGATTGCAAATCGTCCTGGGAACCTCCAGCAATGTATTGAAATCAACAAAGGTCCTTAATTCGCCCTAGAACACAGAAAACAGTTTTGAGTTTTCTTTGATTTTTTTCAATATTGCCATGCATTAGGGTTAGGTTCTGTACATATAATGGACTGAATTTAGGTTAAATCTTTGACCAAATATCCATGGAATTGATGTTTCAATATTTGATTGAAAATCAAATATTTTTCAATCTTTTTGATTGAAGAAAGTTGCTAAATTTGGAGTTTTTGATATCCTTGATTGGCACACGAAATCTCCAGAATATATTGGTCATCTTTGCTTCACCAAAAGATTGAGAAATCATATCTTTGAATTTCCTACATTTTAAATTAATTAAATGAATTAAAAATCAATTAAAAATCCAATTAATTAATAAAAATAAGAAAATAATTCAATTTAATCTCAATGGGTCTTGCATAAGCCTTGGATAAAGTTTCAAGAAGGAATTTGAAGCCCATTAGCAAAAACAAAGTGTTTTGAGCAAAGTTGACTTTTGCAAATTCACAAAAATTTCCCAACTTCTCCAACGCATATCTTGCTCAATTTTGATCATATGAACATGTTCTTGGACATTTTGGAAATGTCTTGAAGTCCTCTAACCAATGCCTTTGGTCCCATGTCATTTGGATTTACCAATATCAAGTTATGGTCTTTAACTTAAAGTGCATCTTTGTTGACTTTTGAAATTGACCTATAATGTAGAAATTGATAACTTTTTGTGAGAGCATTTCTTGGACTTGTAATGTGAAGATGGATTGTAGGAAATGTCATCCCCTTAAAAATGAGCATTGGATGGGATTTTTCTGATGAACCATGAAAAAGTTATGCCCTGGTCAAGATACAATTGACTTTTCAGCTGTCCAAAAATAGTAACTTTTGCATCTTTGATGATTTTTGAGCCATGCTTGTGGAATCATGATCAAGACTTGATAAAATGATGATTGTGGACTCAAAATAAGATGTTGACCAAAAAATTTGACTTTTGACTGCCAAATGACCATTTTGCCCCTGCAGTTGACTGTGAAGCAAATGGAGCTTTTGACTGTGCAAACTGGCATTGTGAACCTTGAAACTTGACATGTAGATGCTTGACAATGTATATAGGCCTATGGGACTTGATTGGACCACTGAAAACCCCAAATTCCTTGAGAGAACCAAAACCCTAATTTTGACTGGCTTAGGAGGCATTTGGACTGTGCAACCCTTGAGAAATCTTGAACCATTTGAAGATGATTCTTGACAAACCTTGAAGAATATGGGAGGGCAAATTTTGGGGTACAACACCTACTATCCAGGTTCTTTCTCACAGCCCTACTATCCAGGATTTCATTTCGAAGTAATCCTACCATCCAGGTTCCTTCTTACAGCCCTACTATCTAGGCTCTCATTTCGAAGTAACCCTGCTATCCAGGTTCCTTCTCACAGTCCTACTATCCAGGCTTTCATTTCGAAGTAACCCTATTATCCAGGTTCCTTCTCACAACCCTACTATCCAGGCTTTCATTCCGAAGTAACCCTACTATCCAGATTCCTTCTCCCTTATCTCTAGACAACAGGTTACAACACTATAAAGCCTGGACCCGATCAAATACAGTCGATTTCACATTTCCCTAGCGAGTTGTTGTACATCCTGGACCCTGACTAGATATACAGTCTACTTTCACCTCTTCAATAAAGAGTTAATTCCCCAGTAGAGTAATGGACAACCAAAAGCTCCTAGACTTTACTTCCCAGTGCATAAATCAACATTCCTCGGCAAAGTCCCCCTTGACAGCAGGTACAGGAATTTTCACCCAGAAATCTCTTATGCAACCAATCTTTTCTGGATGGCATCTTTAAGCCCATCTCCTATGATTTCCCATCGCCTTCCAAATGGAATTTGTAAGCCCATTCCCGACATCACCAATCAGTATTACTTCATGCGAGTGCAAATTTCTAGGCACTCTAGTGTTCAATCATCTCCCGCCTTCAGATCACGAAAGGCAGATCTGCCAATCTACATCCTCAGGTTTAAGAAGATTGAACAGGGGAAATTGTTGTACCCCAAAATTTTCCCTCCCATTTCTCAAAGATTCATCCTGGACTCTCAGTTTTGCTTCTATCAAGTTCCAAGTCTTGAATCATCACTTTTCAAGGAAATCATCCATAAGGGCAAAATGGTCAAAAGCACACTGAAAAAGTCAAACTTTGACTTTTAAATCAAAATCGAGTTCCAAGAATCATATTTCATTAAGGCATGAAATTGGTTCATCAAAAATCAGAAGTCAGAAGTTACTTTGAAAAAATCAAATTTTCTAAACATTTAGAAAATTTTCTAAGTGTCTAGAGAATATGATACTTCAGAACTTCTGAGTCAGCCTCTATGCAAGTGCAGTCAGAAGTTGCAAACACGGTCTAGAACATGACGCTTCAATCAGAACATGCAGAAGCGTTGCTCTTTGGTCAGAACATAATGCTTCAGTCAGAACACGATTCTTCAGCATATGGAGGCTATGTTCAACGCTCTGGTCAGAAGATGCCCCTTCAGCATTTGGAGGTTACATTTCTGATCTTCTGCAATCAGAACATCACCAAATCCAAAACCCTCGTTTAAGTAACCTGCTTCCCTGCTATGGCACAGTCCTACAACCAGCTGCCACAACGCTACAAAGTGTTGTTGACCCAGTCCACGCCTGCCCTTTCTCAAACCCCATACTTGCATCAAATTGGCATACGAAAACTATGACTAAAAAGCAATGGAACAGTATACCAAAAAGGTTTGAATCCCTTTTGTTTTTCCCACCAAAACCACAACAAACCCATCTATAAATACTTTGCTCTATCACACGTTCAAGGGGATGGCTTTTAGAGAGAGAATCGTCAAAAAGAGAGAAAAGAAAGTTGTGATACTTCCATAAAAAAATCCAGAATTCCTAAGCAAAAAACCAAAACCTTTGTTCTTCCCTTGAAGTAAAAGTACTTGGCATTTCCTCCTTCGTTGCTCTTGCTGACTCCAGAATATCTGAAGGCAGCAGCTCAAGTCCCAGACACACACTCCAGGTTCAAGGTAAGTCTCCCTGACTTTGCATTTTCTCACTCAGAACATCATTAAACATGTAAATATCATAGTATTAATGTTGTCCATACCACTGCGTAAGTAGAAAGACTCAGGATCAGAACTTTCTGATCATGGCTAGACTCAGGATCAGGATCAGAACTTCCATAAACTGTTGTGCTTTTATCCCTCTGATTTGTTGTTTGTTGAAAACTGAATAACTTATCATTGTGCTGGTTGATGTAAGGAAAGAGTTGAAATGTAACACAGAACTTCTGTTTTCACTCCCCATTCTAACACATAGAACTTCTAGGATTTTCTCACTGTTTAAGCACACAGAACTTCTGAGTTCTCTTCACTGCTTTAACATTTAGAACTTCTGATTCTTATATGCTGATAATGCACTAAACTGCTGATGTTTATTCATTGTTTTTAGCATAGCACAGAACCTCTGACTTTTGGCTCACTGTCAGAATACCACCCAAAATTTATGTGTTTTCCCTCTAACGTGTTTTGCAGGACCTAAGAGTTTACCAACTCAGAACTTCTGACACCCACTGACGTCTCCTGCTGAGTCATAATGCTCTTGACTTCAGAACTTCTGATTTCGTTTGTTTTGCTTGTAGCAGCACGCTGGTCTTATAGCTCATTTATTTTCCTTCTTATCACTTTCAACATTAAAACTCTTTTCATCAACATAAAAGGGCGTAAAAATATTTCTTTTTTTACTAAGTTAATTCATTCCTTTTTTTATTTATCAACACAAAAAACCCTTTTTTAAAAAAAAAAACAAGGTCCCTTTTCTTTCTTATATTGTACATTTCAATATGGCTGTAATAGTAACTTAGGATTTAATTTTATTTGTAACCCCCATTCATAAATATGTACCCATATCCCCCTAATGATTGTAATAGCATATGATATTTACTTTCCGCACTTTTATCGCTTTAAAATATATTGCTAGTAAATAGGATGTATGGCAAGATAAAATCAACAAATAGACAACCCTAATCAAGACTAAAATGCATGCAATCAAACACACTTTGCCACATGCACCCTTAGGGTAATCCCACTTCGTTGCCTATTGAAAAAATAGTCATGTCCCTCGAACATGGGCATTTTAGCAAAAACTCTTGATAAAAGATCGTAGTCCCTCGATGACCCTTAATGTTGCCTTCGATAAACGATCTAGTCCCTAAAACGATATTGCTAAAACGTCCCTTATGTTGCCTTCTATGACTATACAAACGTCTCTACACCCGTCCCTTCACATCCAACGATGGGGCTTCTTACCAAATCAATGGTAGGATAACAACATCTAAAGGAGAAGGAAAAGCACATTTAAGACTTTTTGAGTAGGTAGGTTCGCTCTTAGTTACTCGCTTGCTCACAACAAAAACATTTTATACACCAAACACTCTCATTTTGAAACACTTTTGAAAATAATACTTTGTACGCGTTCTTATAGAAACGAGAATCATTACAAAGGAAACCCTTTTTCAAAATTACTTTCAAAAACCACACCACAAGCACATTCAAACAAAATCAAGTGATCTAACGAGTAACTAAGAGCCCATGGAAAACCATGGATGAAAAGGGTGCTAATACCTTCCCTTTTCATAATCCACCCACCGAACTCAAGAAACATCTCTAAAGGTCTTTCTTGTGCTTTTTCACCTTTCCTTTTTGGATAAAAGTAAAGTCGGTGGCGACTCTTGCTAAACCGCAACATTTACGAACACAAATGTAAAACTCTCAAGTCAGTTCCCCCACCGTATCACAATGGACCTTAACTTGTACATAATTTGATGAAACACACACACATATATATATATATATATATATACACACACACGTGCATACTTATCTTGTTGAATAATAGGATGGTAAAAATAACAAAATAGATATAGGGGTGAGATGTTTCACTACATATATCAACTATATGACCCAAAAGTATAGCCAGTGGCGGAACCAGCGTCCGGCCAGGTAGGGCAGCTGCCCAGGCTCCGCCCGACCATGCTTCACCATCTCGCGATGGAGATCTTCTATGGCCATATTCCGACACACCATACCGTAAACAGATACACACCGCAACACCACTCTTGCCTTTCCGGTTTCCGTTCAATCAATTATCGGTGAGCATCACCTTCCTCCGCCGATTCTTTCTTCTTCTTGCTTCTGTTTCAATTCATATCTCCTACATCATTGTTGTTGTTTTGTTATTTGTTGTTGTTGTTGCAGGTTGTGGTGTTGAATTTGTTGTTTCGTGCTATGTCCACCAAGTGTTCGGTAAAATTTCTGAACGAATATTTTTCTTATTGGGCATCCTAGAATCCAATCCAGAGAGTATATCAACTTTTCTATTGGACTACTGGAAAATCTTATGTACAAAAAGTCGTAGTGTTACTGTTGAATATATATAAATATATACTGATTTTGGTTTCGATGAATGAATTTGATACATACAGGCTGGTTATCGTCACATTGATTGTGCTCAAGTCTATGGCAACGAGAAGGAGGTGATCCTTGTTTGTTTTGTCAATGGTGATGCAACTTCATGTGTGAACGAAATGAAATGACTCATTGATCTCTTCTTTTGCAGATTGGCTCTGTATTGAAGAAACTGTTTGATGATGGCGTAGTGAAACGTGAAGATTTGTGGATTACCTCGAAACTCTGGTTTGTTTGTTTATATAATATTCTCGACTTCATTAAATAACGCAGTGGCGGAGCCAGCGTCTGGCCAGGTAGGGCAGCTTCCCAGGCTCCGCCTGACCATGCTTCACCATCTCGCGATGGAGATCTTCTATGGCCATCTTCCGACACACCATACCGTAAACAGATACACACCGCAACACCACTCTTGCCTTTCCGGTTTCCATTCAATCAGTTATCGGTGAGCATCACCTTCCTCCGCCGATTCTTTCTTCTTCTTGCTTCTGTTTCAATTCATATCTCCTACATCATTGTTGTTGTTTTGTTATTTGTTGTTGTTGTTGCAGGTTGTGGTGTTGAATTTGTTGTTTCGTGCTATGTCCACCAAGTGTTCGGTAAAATTTCTGAACGAATATTTTTCTTATTAGGCATCCTAGAATCCAATCCAGAGAGTATATCAACTTTTCTATTGGACTACTGGAAAATCTTATGTACAAAAAGTCGTAGTGTTACTGTTGAATATATATAAATATATACTGATTTTGGTTTCGATGAATGAATTTGATACATACAGGCTGGTTATCGTCACATTGATTGTGCTCAAGTCTATGGCAACGAGAAGGAGGTGATCCTTGTTTGTTTTGTCAATGGTGATGCAACTTCATGTGTGAACAAAATGAAATGACTCATTGATCTCTTCTTTTGCAGATTGGCTCTGTATTGAAGAAACTGTTTGATGATGGCGTAGTGAAACGTGAAGATTTGTGGATTACCTCGAAACTCTGGTTTGTTTGTTTATATAATATTCTCGACTTCATTAAATAACGGTTGCGTAAAAGTTTTTGCAATTTTGGTTGGTTCAGATGTATAAATTAATCACAATTTGTTATTTATCATATAAACACTGAATAACAGTACCAGTATTGACAACTTCTGATACCGTTTTATCACATCTGTTTTCGCGGTATTGCTAAATGAATTAATTAATGATGTTGGTAGAAAAAAATTATGAATTTGTTAGTCTCTTTTTTGCTGTTCTGAACATAAGGATTTAATAAGATGATTTGCACGGCAGGAATACTGATCATGCTCCAGAAGATGTACTACTGGCATTGGATAGGACTTTGAAAGACTTACAGATTGATTATGTTGATTTGTATCTTGTATGTTACTAATATATCAATCTATCTTTGCATATTCTCCAACTTCTTGCTTGGTTATTGTCATTATTAGTTTGTTTTGAAATTTGAACTGAAAATGTGAAATTTGAAATATCAATTTCAAAGGAACAGCTTTTTATTTTAATGTTGAAATTGTGAACTTAATTAGTTAAGCAGTGCACTATTGTAATGTAGAAAAGTTTAAGGCTTCATTAATATACTGCGTGATTGTTTGGAAAATGCTATGTGTTTAACTTTATGTCTTTTTCGATTCTAGCCTTTTTTGAGAAATATTGAAGTACTTGTTAAGCCATGTTTCTTGCACACTTATTGACCACAAGTATAGTTTAGTCTAGAGAAATTTAAATTTCACTTCCTGTATATGCTGCATATGCTGCATTACCTAGGGGTTTATATCTTTTACATTCATCTTTTATTTTTAATGTTTTCCTTTAAATGCACATAGGATTTATTTAATCTGATTTCCAAATCTGGTAGTTTGATAGTGTTTATTTGAGACATGCTTGATTGAATGTTAACTGATGACTCTTCTTTTTCAGATCCACTGGCCCGCTCCGCTGAAGAAAGGATCAGTAGGTATCAAGCCTGAAAATCTTGTGCAACCAAATATTGCCAGCACATGGAAGGCAATGGAATCACTCTATGACTCTGGCAAGGCGCGAGCTATAGGTGTAAGCAATTTCTCTACCAAGAAGTTGGGGGATTTGCTGGCGGTTGCTCGTGTTCCTCCAGCTGTCAATCAAGTCGAGTGCCACCCTTCTTGGAGGCAGGACAAGCTGCAGGATTTTTGCAATTCGAAAGGTGTCCATCTCTCTGTAAGTTTCCAAATCTTGAATGATCATTATTTTGTTTCTGAATACTACATTGGCTTATTTCAAGAAGTCTTTCTGTTTATTGAAAGTTCAAACTTGAAATGAACCTTTTTATTTAATGGCTTTCTCCTATTCAAGTTTTGCTCTTTTGAATGTTTAGGGATATTCACCTTTGGGTTCCCCTGGAACCACCTGGCTTAATGAGCACGAAAGCGATGCCACATGGTTTTCCAGAGGAACTATTGAAAGGTATGGCTTGTTATCATAATTTTTTATTTGTTGATAACTTAGATTGGCATATCTTGGAATCATTGTTGTTAAATAGCAGTTATAGCTATTGTACTATAGTGTAGCGGAATTTGATCACATCCCTATTGTTTTTTGTTATGCTACTTAGTATAATGTGTTCTCAAATAGTGGCTCTACAACATTGTAGCATACCGGAATTTTAACAAACCACCACTTCGCCGATCTGCATTTGACAACATTATTTGAAATTTGAATTGATAGCGGTGTTTTTAGGCAGTACTTAATTTCACACAAATGAGCGTGTTGAACTAATTTTCTCGGTTTTTATAGGTTTGTTCATTTTGTGAGCACACCTGAAATTGAAGAGGTAATTGCAATTCAAGGAAATAATTCCGTTGGGATTAACATTGTACTGTCTTGGTAGAAAATTATGAAGCCAATGAAAACTTGCCCAGACTTCATAATTTTTCTGGCTCCGCCACTGAGTATAGCTAGAGTTTCACATAGCCCTAGAAAGATATTATTGATCCCATAAACTAGCCTCGGATGTGGGGGGAACCATTGTGGTTATTAAACGTGGATTTATATATAGGTGTGTGGAATAACATATTACATCTCTATAATGTTTGAGATTTTTTACATCCCTGATTTTATGACATGTTGAGCATATTTGGTATTTAATGAGTTCTTTGTCGATATTGGTAGTAGGTTACACGTGATGTAACCGACCACAAAGAAAATTTATGGATGTTATACGAACTGCATTAAGATTTATTTATCTCACCCCATATTTATTGTTTTATTACGTATGATAAGTGACGGGTAAGAGCAAAACAAGGATAATATGAAATGGATGTTTAGCACTTTTCAATTATTTATTGTTTGGGTGAATATTTCCTTTTTAGGTAATGAGATTTTGATGTATTTTAATGTATTTTTACACTACTTTTATGTACTAATACCAGTTATAATAATATTTTACACTGATATTCTAGACTATTTATGGATATTACAAAAAATATTTAATACACTTGATTGTTGTCTTTTAATAATATAATATCTTTTTTGATTTATTAATTCTTATTTTAAAACTTTTTTATATTTATTTAGTTATTTATAAATGAACTTTATTCAATTGGATGGATGGAGTAACACTATTGTATCTATATCATGTGTAGATAAACACCCTAGTACCATGATAATTAGTACTAAAAATTGTGCATGATATTCAATTCACTTTTTAAACTAGCATTACTTTAAAATAGTGATTATTTGCTTTTAAACTAACATGTTAAGAAATTTAGTAATTATTTGCTTTTCAACTAACACGTTAAAGAAATTTATTGAAAACCTTATTTTTGAAGCAGTTCAAATATAGGAGTGATAATTTTATTCCTTAATCTTTTAAAAGATTTTGAGATTGCATCATATTTTAACATAAAATTGCACTAAGTAAAATTACATTCTTAATAATTAATCGGTAGAAAGGAAAGGGGTATGATATAAGTTATTTCATTACATTTTCTTCATTAATTAATGGCAAATAACTAATGACTAGTAAGTTAGAACAAATCTAATCATTAAAAGAAAATAAATAATTTTGTATTTTTCAGATGTAAGTTTACTTTTTTATTTATTTATTAAGTAATTTAATGATTGAAATTCACTTAATTAAAGATAAATAAGTGAGATGATACGAATTCAAACTCCTAATTTTACACTTAATATTCTTACATAATTATCAACTGAACTGACTTAATAAAACAAATATAAATTTACTTTATTAGTTGTAAACTCCTACAAAAAGAAAAAACAAAACGCATAGCTAATACCAAAATCTTTTTTTTTAAGGAAAGTTTTTAATATGTCATGTTGTTGCACCTCCTTTAATTGTTATATCATTTAAAATATTTTAAAAGATATTAAGATTTTTTCTTTCTTTATAATATATTTACTTTTAAAATTTTTTTAAATAAAACTTTTATTAAAGAAAATATAAAAGATACTCCAACCCATACATAATTTTCTTCAATTACACTCATGGGATTCTAAACGTGACTTTCTCTAGTTTGTTAAAAATTTACTCCCTCCATTCTTGTTTATAACAAAATTTTAAATTTTTAAGTTCATTGAAAAATTGATGTATTTAACTAATATATAGTCTAAATACATCATTTATTTAATGAATCTAAAAAGTCAAAATTTTCTTATAAAAGAGAATAAAATAACAAATAATTAATTTTAAGTTTTGAATATTTTATTCTTAAAGATATACAATTTAAAAAAAAAAAAAAAAAAAATATATATATATATATATATATATATATATATATATATATATATATATATATATATATATATATATATATATATATATATATATATATATATATATATATATATATATATATATATATATATATATATATATATATATATATATATAATCCAAGATATTTGTGAGAATGACGTGATTTTTAAACAACTGCATAGTTAGCATTTCCAAAATTACAGTTATATATAGTAATTTTGAGTAATTTTGATAAACTTACTTGAAACTTATAATGCATATAGTATAAATGATATACGGTAAAACCTATAATGTGAAAAAGGATATTTGTATTTATTATATGTAAATTTTAATGTTCTGTCTACATTTTTTTTATTATCAATATTTATATATTTAGTTTTTTTATTTAGTTTTATTTAGATTTTCAATTCAACATTATGATTATATTTTGGATGCTTCTACACCCAAACTTGTTATTTTGTATTTTAATATTTATTTCAGCGACTGTAACTAACTTTTTTACTATACTTTAATATTAATATTTTATTTTTACCTTTTTCTTTTTATCAACTTTTTTTTCTTTGTTATACTCTTATTCTTTCTCCAAAGCAAACACGGCTATGAGTGCAAGATTCATGGAGAAAAAGAAATTATGGAGTAATTTCACAAATTCAGGGGGTAATAAACAAAAGTCAAATATGAAACTAATGAAAAAAGGTTAATTAAGAAATGGTTCATGAGAAGAGATATCGAATTCGATGCAACACCTCATATAATATATATTTAGAAAATACGTTATACATAGTATTAATTGATATCAATACAACACAAATGTCTAATGATATTATTATATATACATGTCTAAATATAAAATATACAATGGCACACGATATACAATAGAGTCTAAATAAAATCTAAAATCTATGTACAATATCTCCAATTGCACATAATCCACAACGGAAGATCACAATAACAAAAGTCTTTAAAACATCACCGACAAGCTTCCTCTTGCCTTTAAAATGCAAAGAATTACTTGAAAGACAATAATAATAGTGGAGTGAGATGATAATCTCAGTGAGTTCCTTTATCCTATGAGACTAGTCGGCTCTAAAGGGATTCTTATCGATTCTCAACTCAAGTCTTTATCTTTCATTACTTGCGTGTCACTCACACAACATAACTCAAAGTTAAGCATCTAAGGAATATTTGCATTGTATGGAAACATGTCATTTGAGTCACGTAACTCAATAAATCACTATTTGGAAGCACAAAACATCGATCCCTGGTTGGACCTACGTCTAGGGCAAGGCTCGGTTCACGTATATTCGTATGATTCAACTTTCTTGTGGATTCGGGTTCTCCATGGGAATCGAACTCATTTCAAGAACCGTCACTCGTATGGGACTTGAGCCCACTTTGAGTATCTTTCACCGTATGAGACTCGAACCCAGTTAGGCGTCCATCTCCCCTCCACGGACTTATTCTATAATTGGGACTCAAACCCAATGTGAGATCCATAGTTAGGACTCAAACACATTATGAGGCACTAATGTGTCACATCCCAATCCTACTTTACATAAGTATCTCAATTGGGATGTGCTCGATCAAGGGTGAATTTCGAATACGTGTTTAGTTCTCAATATTCTCGTAATTGTTCTCATCAATCATAGGTCATCACATCAACCAATTCTCATATCATTATTCACACATATTCCACAAAAAACCTATTGATTAATAGCGACTACTCGTCCACGACACACACTGAGGTACCCTTACGTCCAAGCATCGCAATCTAAGTCATTTCATAACCTAGGTTATCTTCTAATTCATTCACCTAGTTACAAACCTAGGTTTAGCCTCACTTTTCATCATAGTTTTTAATCAATCATCATACAATCAACACGAAAAAAAATTAATAATATAGTTCATTACATACATCATAATATGATTCATAAATACACATAACAAATTCATTATCAATACACAAACAATAATTGTTGCACAAGCATGATTTCTTTCCACCATTTAATAAAGCATCAGACTAGTTTTCCAATGTATATGACCTTACATTAATCAACTACCATTCCTATTTTATGGTGGAAACAAGGAACAAAGTATTTAACCTACTTCAATCTCATCATATCATACATGATATTTTATCATCATTATCCTATCAATCATTGACATAAAATAATGTTTTTACTTCACCATCTAATAGAGCATTTCCAACCCATCCGACTGCGCGTCAAATAGAGTTACGAAACTCATTTTATAGTAAAAACATGAAACGAATCGACTGATATGGTCATTCTGTAATAATTTTTCATTAAAAAACATGGACCTGACAATTCTAAAAGGAAACCAATCGATTGTTCCCTATAAAAAAACTCAAAAACCTTCAAAATTCATGAACCAATCGATTGGTTCATGACACCAATAAACAGTCTTCTGGAATATGTCCAAAATAACACTTCTAAACACATTTGTCCAAACTTCAAACATTTTAAAGCATTTCTAAACACGGACCAACACAAACCTATATGATTACAAGTCATAACTTCAAGAAACCAAGACATAGCACAACAAATCACACTAACATCATATAACACAATCGTTTTATCCAAACAACACCAAACACAACAAATTTCTCATCAAATAACATGAACCCACATGAATCATCATCAAGTAAACATGTAATAACAATCAAAAACACACTTTATCATCAGATT